CCGCCCCCATCCCCTTCCAACCCTCGGGATCCGCGCTCAGGGGTCGCACCCGCTGCCCCCATCCTCATCCGACCCCCCGGATCCATCTCCAGTCCCCATCACATCCCCTGGAGTTTGGAGAGGGGTCGTTCCCGCTGCCCCCATCCCCATCAGACCCCCGGGAATTTGGTCAGGGGTCCCCCCCTGCCGTCCCAATCCCCTTCCGACCCTCGGGATCCATTTCCAATCCTCATCCGACCCCCGGGAGTTTGGTCAGGGCCCGCCCCAATCCCCTTCCGACCCTCGGGAGCCGCAGTCAGAGCTTGCTCCCCCCTCCCCATCCCCATCAGGCACCCGGGAACCATTTCCAATCCCCATCCGGCCCCCGGGAGCCGCTCTCAGGGGTCGCTCCTGCTTTCCCCATCTCCATCCGACCCTCGGGAACCATTTCCAATCCCCATTCGACCTCCGGGAGCCGCAGTCAGGGCCATTTCCCATCCCCATCCGACCCTCGGGGGTTTGGTCAGGGCCATTCCCCGCTGTCCCCATCCCCATCCGACCCCCCGGGAACCATCCCCAATCCCAATCCTACCTTCAGGAATTTGGTCAGGGGTCTCTCCCGCCGCCCCCATCCCCATCCGACCCTCGGGAGCCATTCCTCATCCCCTTTCGACCCCCGAGATTTTGGTCAGGGCCCGTCCCTGCTGCCCCCATCCCCATCCGACCCTCGGGAACCATCCCCCATCCCCATCCGACCCCCAGGAGCCGCTCTCAGGGGTCGCTCCATCCTCATCCGACCCCCGGGAACCATCCCCAATCCCAATCCGACCCCCGGGAGCCGCGGTCAGGAGTCCCTCCCGCTGCCCCCATCCCCATCCGACCCTCGGGAGCCATTCCCCATCCCCTTTCGACCCCCGGGCATTTGGTCAGGGGTCGCCCCCATCCCCTTCTGACCCTCGGGATCCGCGCTCAGGAGTCGCCCCCGCTGCCCCCATCCGCATCCGACCCTCGGGAACCATTCCCAATCCCCATCCGACCCCCGGGACCCACTCTCAGGGGTCGGTCCTTCCCCTCCGACCCTCGGGAATCATCCCCAATCCCCATCCGAGCCCCGGGAGCCGCTCTCAGGGGCCTCCCCCTCTTCCCCCATCCCCATCCGACCCTCGGGAATTTGGTCAG